CTCTGTACTAGATAGAGGTGAGTGGTTACATTCACACTCCAGCAACTCCACTCATGTGAAATTTATCCTCATACCCATGGCTCAGGAGGCTGAGTACAGATCAGAGTTTGTCAGGATGCTGTGGAGAAGAGAGAGCCTTCTTACCCCTGCCGGGAATGAAACCACGATTCCTCAGTCACTCAATCACTATACCAACAGCCATATTGGCTCCATTGAATAGAAAGGACCTTCAGAATAAATGCATTATAATTCCATTTGTATTTGGATATTCTGATTTGCAGGTTATCAACTGATTCTTAATTAAATGTTTATGTTCTGTGAAGCTGTGTTTACTTCTAGATCATTTAAAAGAAGGACATGGTACTCTCTGACACCTAATTTTCGTTCTTCAGGCAGTAACGTATTTACTGCCATTCCCTTGTAGTAGAATCTTCCCGCTAGGCCAGACATTTTCCCACAAAAGCTGAATTTTTAGCTTGTAATATTTGAAATGGAAGTGGAAGCAAACAAGTGACAGTTCCACATTTTGATACTAATCTCAGGTTCCAGCAAGACTTATAGTTAGTTCCTCTGCATTTCAGTGACATCTGGAAGAGGATATGAGGTTTATGTAAACTGCGGCGGCAGCTTGATACAAACATCTCATCATATGAGGCACTGGAAGTGAATGAATTATTTACAAACAACATTGTGAGCAGGCGCTAGGGCTGAGACCCCTAAGCATGTTATAGCAAATACAGAGCCTTCCAGAGGTTGTTCCTTTTTTTCCTTCTCAGAGAGTCCGTATGTTGAAGTGGCCACATACAAAATGTTCAAATTTGACCCACCAACCATCACAGAGGAAACTCGAGAAACTGGAATCTGTACACTTCTTATTAAGGTGCCTGCCTTGGGATCCACGTTTATAACCCGTAAGAAATAAATTCAGTGTTTTAGTTACTTTACATAATACTCAGAAACATTTTCCTGAAATTTGTACAGCTTTAACTGCTGGTTGTGCCTGCAGAGATATGAAATAAATTTAAGGACCAAATTGGTAAATGGTACAACTGACAGTAACTCATGCTGTTTCCAAGACTATTAAAATGTCATATTTATACATTTATATGCAGTAGATATTAAAAGTGTGTGGTGTTCTCTGAACACTCAGTATTAAGGGAACATTGTTTACTGTGTAGGATTTCAGGTTCTCACAGTGGTAGTTATGAAGAGTGCTATCTTCGAATATACACGTATAATACTGTGTAGTCTGTTGAAAGTCACCCTTCTTTCGCGCTGGTATCTTGCTCAGCTTATTGGACCCTGAAGATAGAGGCAACTTGTCAGTTGACTTTCAACAGACTACACAGCGTTATATCCCAGAAGATAACATTCTTCAATGTTTACTATTATTACACACAAAATTAAAATTATTTCTTAATATATAGTATGCTCCAAAGTCATGTTGGAATAGAACGCTATAATTAAATAATAAAGAAAATGTGATATTAAACAGTTTACACTTAATAAAGACTTCTCCTTCCCACCCTTTACCATGTCTGTGTTCTGGAGACCTAGTTGACTGTGGAGTATGAAAATTCAAAAATCTGTTCACAACATCCCTTTTCTTAATAATGTCAAAAACTGTAAGACTCAAAGGGAAAGGATATTAATAATGAAACGTGTTTAATTTTCTCTACAGCTGTAGCTGAAATATTTTCCTCTAAAACATAAGGGCATACAAAGGTGTGGGCAAACTTTGGACATGAGATTCACATACCAAAAGAACGAAAAAAGTACTCATATCAACATGTGTCAGGAAACAATTTGTAAGCTATGGCTGAAAGAATACTATCATGACCTTTCCAACTGTTGTTGTCAACTTCGATTTTGGTGATGGTTTAGTAGGCCCACATGTTCTGCCACATCAGCTTAGAGGCAACCACTACCTACTTTTTCTCTTACATGGTCTGCCAAAGCTACTGGAAGATGTACCACTGGCAGTCACAGCACAATATTGGTGTATGCATGATGGTGCTTTGCCACATTTTAGCTGTACTGTGTGAGATGTTCTCAATAACACATATCATGACAGATGGATAATTATAGGTGGACCCACTGCATGGCCTCCATGCTAGCCAGATTTGAATCCCCTGGGTTTTTACCTGTGGGGACACCTGAAAACTCTTGTATATCCAGCGCCTGTTGACAATGAAGAGGCACTTCACCATCACATTGTGGATGGCTGTCAGACTATCCACATCTAACCTGGCATCTTTGAACAGATGTGGCCCATGATGAGATGTGTTGAGGCATACACTGAATCTCATGCAGGACATTTTGAGCAATTATTATAAATGTACTCTTTCAGCTGTAACTCACAAATTAAACGTTTCCAGACACATGTTGATAAAGACATTTCTTCTTGTTTTGGTATGTGAAATTCATTCCCAAACTTTGTCTCATCTTTCAGCTTCATAGTGTATATGTAGTGAGATATGCACAGGAATGCATGTCGGTCTTCATGTAAAGCCACCATTAAACATTTGTGATCTAAATAAAAATTTGAACAGCTGTACAGTTTTTAACACTCTCCAGTGTCAAATTTAATGAAGATCCCTCTATCGGATCTAGAGTTCTTTCAAGTGTACAGGTGGACAGGCAGACTGAATGGACTTACTAGCCAAACCCTAGGTTAGCGAACACGTTTAAAAATACCTTTGACACTGAAAGCGATATTTGTCAGAAAAGGACTCAGTGATCAATGATGCGGTTACAGCAATCAGCACAAACATTTACCTGACAACCGTTGAAGCAAGCTATCCATAAATTCCCTTTGTTATCGATTGTCATCCCATCAGGAAGTCCAGTAACATTGTGTTCCTTGAGGTTAAATACCTTCCTATGGTTAACTGTAAATGTTAATATGTAATGTTAGTATTTGAGCCAGGATAGCGAAGTTGGTATGTGACTGCCTATGGGGTGGACGGACGAGTGGTCAGAGTTCGAGTCCAGGTAAGGAAAAGACTTTTCTCCTCTCCATGTCATCCAGACTGGTTCTGAGGCCCACTCAGTCTCATATCCATTAGGTACCGGTGGCGATTTTCTGGGGGGTAAAGCAGCAGGGGCGTGAAGCTCACCATTCACCTGCAACTAGTGCCGAGGTCAAGTATACGTGGATCTATACACCACTCCCCCATACATCTTCATGGCGTAGTGTTAATAACTTAAATCATGTAATGTTTGTAAAAATTTCCTATTTACATGCGTCTAAATTCAGAAAGTGTGAGAATTTAGAGCAGTTTGAAATCTAGGTGAAGTTGTACCAGAAATATGTGTTTTTACTGAATACTTTTACAGTATCCTTTGCGTAAGATGTTTTTCAGTAGTTTTACAAAAGCTGTTTTAGTTCGCTTATGGACTAAGACCACGGAGTGTATTTTTGTTTGTTTAAAATTTATCTGTATGAGTGTTTCTGGGCTTGAGGAGTATATCCATATGCCACTCTAAATATGTAACGTGGGTGTGGAGATTTAGTGCAAATATAGTTTCACATGTAGCATAATAAGTACACTAGTCAGAATAGCTTGCATGCACATGAACATGACACTGTAAAAAAGTTATATCAGCAAATGTAAAATTATCTGCTAACAGTTTAATTTGCAGGTGCAACTTCTTGCCGTGCTTGTACAATGTTAGTGTGCTGCATTTTTTATAAAGTGATAACATAGCAAACCAACAGTCTACAAGCACAAGCAGAAGTTGCCTCTTCAAGACTGCCCCTGCAAGTTACATATAACCAGTGCAACAGGAAGCTAAAATATTATCTGCTGAGTTTCAGTTATGAAATAACTGGATAATATGGGAGAGGCGTTTTAATAACTTGTGTATATCTGAGGGTTACCAGTCAGATGGAAGAGGATGGTCATCTTACCTTCTGACTTCCTCCAGTTGACAACAGAGCCACAATAAATAATCCTGGTTATATGGTTTTTTCTATGGTAATGTCAAGTATCAAGGCAAAGTTATATGTACTAAATATCATGCACAGAAGAAACTTTGCTCTATTTTTTCATGTAATCCAAAAAGTTTCAAAAAGCAGTACAAATGTATATCCAACCAGAATCGGGATGTCTGGGATCCCTGTACTAGCAGCACTGATTGAATAGCTCAGTGCAAAAAGGAACTACTTCTAAATCCGCCCCCCCCCCCAAGCCGGGAAAAAAAAGGACATTGTCACTATTTTTGTTTGTTG